ATTGGGTTGGCTTCCATTTTCACTTTCGTTATTCGTTCTTCTCCCTTCATCCCTCTCCACCTTTCAGCCGCCCTTCACTCCTCGGTGACTTCACAAGCCTCTTCTTCACTAAGCTCCCAGACCTTGCATTGACCGACGGCGGCTTCCATGTTCACGGCCGTTTTTGTTTCCATCCAGTGAATCCTTCTCCTGCTGTGCACAGAACCCATGGCTCTCCCTCAGCCTTCCAAATCGAAGACGATCCGCAAAATTGACATCGCTCAGGTATGTCGACACTCCTGCGTTCAATGAACGCTGGACCATATCTTCCGCGGCTTGCATGGCTTGGAAAAAATTTGACTGACTCGTCCCTCTGGCGTTAGGTATCCCTTAGCCTTCAGGATCGCTTGGGTCTTGCCAAGGTCAAGTACCAGAATGGTCGTCTTCACGGCTTGGACCAGAATGGTGGCCGAAACAGTCTGGTAGGAAGCGACAAGCCTTCCGACTCCTCTTCCGATATCTCTCAGAGTCGATGCGAGACCCCGATGACCTCTCCCCCCTTACGGACCGCGATGTACTCGAAAGAACTGCCTCGGTCGTCTCGTAATAGACATGCTGTGACCTTCGATTCCAGAGTGATGCAGCCGATGTTATCCGCCAGCCGAAAACGTCTCCGGTCGGATTCAATCGCAGACCACCCTGCTAAAATCCCCCGATCGTCATGGAAAAGCTCCTATCAACTGCCCGAATCGTCCCCAGGCTTCAACCGTCACCTCGTGAATCGTCATCTTCCCTTTGTCAGTGAGACGGCTACAATCCCCGAGTTATCCTCTCCGGCATACCATCACCAGTCGGATGAAGATAACGATCCGGACCTTCCAATCCACAGCTTCCAAAATGTGAGCTCCATGGTGAGCTCCTCACCTCCTCGAACTCCGCCGCCAAAGCATGCTCGGTTATCTCGAAATGATCGAACTACACGGCATGAAGATGGTGCGGATCTGCTGCTGTATCTCGCCAACTCCCCTACCCCAGCCAGTGTCGCTGCGAAGGCTCATGGTCGGGAGTTTCCCCCATCCACCCCGCCAAGTCAGCATGCTGTTCTGCCTTCCCTGACTCCGACACCTGGAGGTGGTGGTGTCTTCCCAACTTTCAGCACTCCTAACCAGCAATTCAATTTCGCTGATTTTGTAAATGTGACACCTAGTCCAGCGCAACCTGCCTGGGGTGGTCGCACACCTGGAGGCCCTGCCAAGACCCCGCTAACAGCCAGGGACAGAAGAAGGTCTCACTTGGAGAACTTGTTGCCTCCCGGTGCAGATAGCCCCAAGACGAGAGCCAAGCAAGCGGGTGTTGTCCTGCAACTTGGTGGAGAGCTGCGACCTTGAGCTCATTGTTCCGGGCCAAAAGAATCGTTTCTGCTTGTTTATGCTTTTCACGACTACTTATGACTCACGTACGCACAGCTTGTGATTATCTCATGTTTGGTCAATGTCTTGATCGTCGGTCCTCACTCTTATCTATCTCTCTTCGTTTCCCCTTCTTCCCCTTTCGACTTTCCAAATCCCTTACAGCTTTAACCCCAGTGTTGACTGATACCGAATCATGCATTGCTGCTCATACATACCCTTTCTTATGTCTCGTTTAATCGATTCCGCTAGCAAATTCCTTATGTATTCGCCTACTCACCCACCTGTTTCAATTAATTGTCGAACGCTCTTTACCATTTCTTGGTTATTACCAGTGATCTCTGGGTGAAACCCATATACGAAACTTTACTACCCAAATTTTTCTATTTGAATTTTACTGTACATACAATTGACATGTCAATAATCAATTACCTCATTGCTTTCAACCTGCAACGAATCCGTGGGTTTGGTAACAAAGACCCGAAGATGACCCCACTCTGAAAATCGCACCACACACAAAATTGAGGAAAACAACACGCGACAACCGACGCGTCAAACTCAGATCCCGTGGCTATTTCGCGTTCCAACCATCCCGAATTAGGATTAGTGCCATGCATGTGATCGATCCCATTCTATATCGAGATTAGCCAAGACTCAACCTTATTATCACGTGGCTATTATCCATTTAATCTACAGACATGTCGATAGCACACTAAGTGGCCGATTTCATATAGAACGGGTATCTGGGGGACCATGCGTCTAGTGTTCTTATTATATAATATACTCATCACCTAGGATGGAACTATTATGGCGATATATTGTGCCTGATACACTGTCCGTTTCCGGTCGATCCAACCGGTACCATATCTGCTGAATCGAAGCTTACGCGCCACCCTCACTCCTCCTGCTAATCTAACTCGGCATCTGGAGCAGGGGGTTCTACTTCTTCTTTCTGGGAACGTTCGAATTGCTTCCTCCAAAGTAAGGCCAGATAATCTGACGTGGTAGCCTCATCAATGGACTTGTCCTCCCGGACGCGAAGAAATCGCGGAAACCGAAGACTAAGACCTCGTTCGTCGCTCACCAGCCCGATGGCAGCCGTGTAAGTCGGGCTGAGCGTGATATCTGCAAAGGCCATCTCCCACACCTCCTGCGGCTCGAACCAGACGTCCGGCTCGCCGTAGTATTCGACATAACTGGGCCGTGAGATCACATTGGGGCTGCCTTCGGTATATTTATCCTTGTTGGCCTGGTAGAACTTGTCCGTGAAGCCGGACATGCACTTCGTGACGGCTTCGAGGCTGCCGGTTTCGGGATTCCGCACGGCTAACAGGATGGGTGACCACCATTTGGCTTTTCGGCCTTGTCCGTGCCAGGCCCCTACAGGGATCAGGTCAAGGGTCTCGGATGAGGTGCTGTAGTCCTTTTTGACTTTAAGCCAGGATTCGAGTCTTTTATCTGGTTCGTATGTGGAAAGTAAGGCCTTTCGGCGGCCTCCTTTCGTGGGTTTTGATTCCGGCTTGTCTATATCGTCGTTTGGGGTCTCCGATGGTTCCGAATTATTTGACTTCGACACATTGTCGAGCATCTTGACCATGATGCCTTCGCATTTGGTATCAGTTGCACTTTTAAAAAATTCCAGGACTGTCTCCGAATCGGCAGATGTGGCATCAAAGCTCTTTACCCATGTGAACCGGTTGGGGATTTCCACGAATAAGCTTCGTAGAAGCTCTCTACGTTCGCGGAAAGATCGGTCCAACAGAGGGTTTCCGTTCAGGTACATCAGGTCAAATGAAAAGAGACAAACATTAATCTTGATAGTCCCTATATCAACGTTCTTTTTGGCTCGATTGGTCAGAATCTGGAAGGCTTGGAGTTCCCCTGTTTCCTGGTCAACGGCGACTACTTCACCCTCTAGTATGAAGCTCGACACGCTCTCGCCTCTAATCTGTGGGACCAGGGACACCAGGTCCGGGTATTTCTCTGTCATATTTTCCAGATGACGAGAAAATATCGATACTTTGCCATTTCCGTCACAGTGCACTTGGGCACGCTGCCCGTCATATTTGTATTCGCAGGCAAAGTCCCGTCCTTGAAGTTTTGTCAGCATCTCGGAGAGATCCCGGGTGATGCTGCCTAGCATTGGCCTCAACGGTATATGTAGCTGTAGGCCACATCGTACGAGAAGTTCTTCCGTGACCCCTATCTCGAGCAAACAGGGAACTAGATCATTGTAATCAGGGTGTCTAGCATATGACGCCTTGACAACCTCTTCTGCATTGTTGTAAATCTCAGCTAGTTCTTCCTTTTTAAGACGAGCCAACTCTTGCTGCGAACGGACAGCGAAATCGGCCCCTTCCGGTTTAGAGTAGAGAAAAGCGCGGGCGAGTGCGATGAGCATGGTAGTCTTCACGGCTCCTATTCGCAAGTTTTGGACGAGCGTCCTCACGATATACCGGCTTTCTTCCGCACCCCTAGTATCCTGTAACAGTTTCTCGACAATTCTCTGTTTGTTTTCCTGGCTCCCTATGCCCTTGCTCATGGCAATCTTTTGCAGTGACTGATATACCCCTTTGACCGTCAATGGCTTGGGCTTCATTAACGTGAAGCTTTGCCTCTTTTTAGCTTCGAACGCCACGTCACCGGCGTCTCCAAGCTTATCATAGAGCGATTTAAGTCCTTGGCTGTTCAGGCCATAGATCTTCTTCAAAGCCTTTGAAATAGAAGAGCCACCGAGTCCTAGCTCTAACTCATCATACGGTGGAGAGATTGAGCTGGTTGCTAGCCATACTGCGGGGAGGACACTCGAAGGGTCGGCTTCGATAAGCACTCGCAGGAAGTTAACGAGTGTATCCACAATTTTGATACGACTTGTCGTGGCATTTGCAAGTACAAAGGCTCGGGTTAAGAGGGCATATGAAGCATCGCCACCTGTGGCAGCCCAGTGCCCTTTTAACTCTTCTGCCCATTTGGTTGAGTCGAACGTCAAGGGACTCTGATCAAAAGGAACTGCAAGAGAAACGATGTCTTCTGTGCCGGTAGAAGATTGCAATGATAGTGTATTTCTCTTCTGTGTCTTGTTTGACGGCCCTAGATCGTCGTCTTTGGTGTTCGACGGAGTCGCGATGGGCTCACCAGTTGGCGTCTGAGTTTCCGAAGCCGGGGCAGCATCTTGCCGGTTCCATTCTTCTTGGAGCTTGCGGGCGAGAGCTTCGTCGGAAAGAGTTTGGTCTGTATCTTCAGGCACAGTGGACTGACTCTGCTCCGCCTTATCAGCTTGCTTGGCTGCTTGGCCCTTGAAGAATGACGCTATGCTTCGACTGCGCTGGGGGGATGAGACTGCGACCTCTCTCTTGCGCTTTTTGGCCGGGCTAGACATGTTGTGCTTGAGTTTGATAATATCTTCGACGTTATGTATATTGTATTCACCCACGTAATGGGCTCCATGGTGGCCAATTCATTGACAGAAACAAGTAGTGGCGGTAGGCGGAAGCTGAAGCTGCATGGAGCTGAGCTCCGCTTTCCCGCAATTCAACTTAATTCGTCCGGAGGCGGAGTGGTCATTGTTCGCGACACCTAACATTTCATTCCCCTCTCCAACATTACCTGACAATGGCGACTCCAACATCCACGCTATCTCTGCATGAACGAACAAGGGTCGAAGATTATCTAAACGACAAAATTCAGGTGTCGGCCGATTTCGAAAGTCTTGACTCATTGCTGTCTAGTCTTCGCTCCCAGCATGAGCTCCAACGAAAGCAGGTATTATTGTCTCACTTATGTCTATCAGTACATGGCCTAATCAGAAAATTATCTGACGGCCTTGGCATAGTTAGCAGAAGCACAGGAAGCACTATCGAAAGCGACAAAGGCCTCTAGCGACCATGCCGAAGCCACTCGAAAGCGTGCCGAGGCGTTTAATGAGCACCAGGCGGATATCGATAGGCGGTTGAAAGCCCTCACTGGGTCAGATGCGAGCGACGAAGCGGCAAAGCGATTTGAAGCGAGTATAGAAAAGCTGCGTAAGCTGGAGCTGTCAAAGGGATATGTGTCCTTGCTCAAGGAAGCGGAGGAATTGAGGTATTTGAAGCAGTGATCGCGTCAAAACAGAGCATGGGCCGCTAAGACGATATACAGCAAGGAAGCCTTAACATGCATACAGCCTTCACCCAAATTGGCCATCAAGCCATATACCCGGCTAAGGACCATCGTCCAATCCTTGAAAGAAGCTCAGCCTGCAGCAGAAGGGGCTGCCCCTCACCTGGTCGACTATATCGGAAAGCTAGCATCTGCATTGAGAGATCACATGAAAACCGACTTCACTAAGCGGCTACAGGGAACATTGGAGGAGATGAAGTGGCCGTCGAAGGACCTGTATTTTCCGGATAATCTAAGAGCACAGTGGAAAGAATATGTGGAGTTGCTCCTCGACCTTCAGACACCGTACGTATCGGTCAATACTTTTTTACTTGGTATGCTAACATATTTATGCTAGTGAACTTCACAGCCGTGACATTTCGAAAGAGGAACCCGTCAAGCCTCCAATCTTACTACCGCTGGAAGTGATGGTACATCCACTGGAGCTTCGCTTCAAATACCACTTCAGCGGGGACAGGCCAACAAACCGGCTTGACAAGGTAAGGATTGTCATCTGATAGTTGTAGGGATAGATACCGTTCTAACTGAGTTTCCAGCCGGAATATTTCCTTGCTCATCTGACGGACCTCCTTAACAACTTTGGCGGGTTTTTTGCTTCATCCTTGCAGCCTATCTTCGACGAAAAGGCACAAGCTGTCGGATCTGATCTGGAGTGGAATTTTTACAACGCCTCACATGCCTACATTACGGCTCTTTTGCCAATTCTGAGACATAAGATAGCCTCATATTTGCCTCAAATCTCAAGCCACCCGCAGTTGCTGAGTCACTTCGTCCACGAGTTAATGAATTTCGACAACGAAATCCGTGAATCGTGGAATTACCTACCAGATCCTTATACTGATAATAATTGGAAGGGCATGACGTGGGAGGTGCTAACCGAACAAGGGTGGTTTGAGCGTTGGCTTCAGGTTGAGAAAGATTTTGCCTTGGCACGGTATAAGGAAATTGTAGATGCGCCGGATAGTGGTCATATCGATTATGACGGTGTCGATCGTTCTGCGACAAAGCCTACTAAAGCTGCAATCCGTGTCAACGATCTTCTCGAGACAATAACAGAGCGTTACCAGCCTCTGTCGTCATTCAGCCAGAAGTTACGCTTTCTCATTGACATCCAGATCACGATATTTGACCAATTCCATGAACGGCTGCATTCAGCGCTGGAAGCCTACCTTGCAATGACGTCGACGATTGGCCGCACAGTGCAGGGTGCTGATGGAACTAGTGTGGAGGGTGTTGCAGGGCTAGAACGGCTCTCCAGAGTTTTCGGAAGCGCCGAATATCTTGAGAAGAAAATGGAAGACTGGAGTAACGAAGTGTTCTTCGTAGAGCTTTGGTCTGAACTTCAAGAACGAGTCCGACAGAACAAGGATGGCGGCAAGAACGTGGCTGGCTCGATGTCTGTTGCGGACGTTGCCTCGCGGACGTCTCAAGCTGTGACGAATGGTAACGATCATGGAGAGGCCTCTGAGGGCGCCTTGTTCGATGAGACAGCATCCGCATATCGCCGCCTGAGGCTCCGCTCAGAATCCATCATTACGTCAACTTTGACTTCAAACATGCGCACCGCCCTTAAACCCTACTCTCGCGTTTCGACGTGGGCAACTGTTTCTACTAGTTTGGCTTCTCCTTTGCCTCCTACTTCGGATCTTTCGCCGGCAATGCGTACTCTATCCACCGAGATCTCCTTCCTTTCTCGCACCCTGGGCGTCGCACCCTTGCGTCGTATCGTCCGCCAAGTGCTTCTCTCCATCCAAACCTACATCTGGAATAATATTCTTACGAGGAATATGTTCTCCGCTGCAGGGGCAACGCAGCTAGTAAGCGATGTTGAGCATCTCTGCAATGTCGTTGATGCGGCCCTTGGTCCGGCGGCTCAGGTTGGCAGCTCAGCGAACGTGCTTAGGAAACTTAATGAGGGCCTCACCCTTCTCGGACTGAGTATCAGTGGGCCAAAGTCAGCAGAGAATGGGTCTGCATCGCAGGACAGCGATCAGCAGGGAACGTCGCCGCTGGGACTGTGGGACGTAGAGAAGAGGTTGTTCAAGGACAACGAAAGCGCAAGGGTTGTCCTTGGTGAATTGAATATCGAAACTCTCTCCGAAGCGGAGGCGAGAAGTGTTCTGGAGAAGCGAGTCGAAATCAGTAGTTAATTTTAGCGACATTGCATTAGTCAGTCATTGTGAGAACTGATATGCTTCAACTTGGCTTGCATGAGATATGTAGATATGAACCTAGTGTACCTAATAATTTGAGCCCTGCGGCGTTAATCATTCATTGTAGTATTTACTCGAAAATATAAAAAATCTATGAAAGGGATGTTATATATGACTTTTGGGTAGCCCTGCCAACCAAACGCCCAAGATCCTGTTGAAAGAATCCTGTCCGGAGAGCTGTTTTTCAGCTCGTTACGTATGATCTAGTTGTTCCAGCATCGGCTTAAGAAAAGGAGAATTCAAGGGTGGTGAACAACTGGACCGTGGCCCCGTTCTCCTGGTCTGTTAAAGTTCTTTGGGGCATTCTGCACCTTCATGTTCTCAATTATACCCGGGCCAACCTCTTCAATTGCCCGCAGAAGCGCCTCGACGGTCTCCCTTGTGGTCTGCACATTAACTACGCAGCGGAAGAACTTCCCATTTCCGACGGCATCCTCATCACCGCTGGGTGGCGCAAAATCAACCATGAAGCCCTTGCTCACGATCGCATGCGTCACCTGCTCGGTGACCTTGCTGTTGGCTTTGCCGCGCTCGGCCTCATCTGAGACGATGCCACGAGGATGGAGGAATTGTCCGCCGGGAGCGTAATAAAAGCAGACCTGGAGGCATGGGGGAGGGTTCTCACTGACGAGGATGAAGTTCGGGTTCTCGGCGACGAGGGTTGCGAGATGCGCCGCAGTGTCGCAGGCAGTGTCAATCTGCTTCTCGTACCCTGCCGTCCCGTAATAAGTCCAGCCGAGGAAGAGCTTGAGGGAATCGGCGCGTCGACCGCACTGGAGCGTCAGATCTGCCAGGTCCCAGACTTCGGGCGAGTCAACGCCGAGTTCGGACTCGATGGTGCCATTACAGCCGTTAGCTTCGGGAAGCTCGGTGTCTTCATTGTGGAACAGGTACCCAGCAGGAAGGGTGTTTGCACGATGGAAGCGACGCAGGTCAGCCGCAAGGAGGAACGAACAGGTCACTGGCACGCCGAGCATTTTGTGAGGGTTGATTGCGATGCTGTCCGCCTTCTCTGCGCCGGCGAGTTTCTGTCGCTGGCGTTTGGAGAAAGCAAACGAGCCACCCCAGGATCCGTCAACATGGAACCACAAATTGTATTTCTTGCAGATGGCGGCGATTTCGTCGAACGGGTCGAAAGATCCCATAACGGTTGTTCCCGCTGTCGCATTGACGTAGAACGGGGTACGGTTCTCCCTCAGGGCCTTTCGGACTAGGTTCTCCAGCTCCGCTGGAATCATGCGTCCTTGCTTATCGATAGGTACAGCCCAAACTGAGCTACTTCCGAGTCCTAGCATCTGCGCTGCCTTCTCAATGCTGTAATGGCCATGGGCGCTTGTGAATAGCACGAAACGGTAATCTCCGTTTCCGTCTTTTTTCGTAGCAGGGAAAAGATTGTTTCGTGCAATGACAATTGATGTCGTGTTCGAGGCAGAACCACCTTGGACCGATATACCTCCCGCTCGTGGGCCATTGAGTCCAAAAAGCGTAGCCAGCTGTTTCCCGGTGAACTTCTCAATGACCGTTAAAGCGGGCGAGACCTGGTAAACGTGGACGTTTGTGTTCAAGGCGGCCAAGATGAGCTCAGAAGCTACACCCGGGGCATTGGTGGATGCATACAGCTTGTCAAGGAAGCCCTGGTGCCAGGTATTGACGGAGTATCGCAAGACCTTCTGCAGTGCCTCGACCAGGCCATCTTGTCCCGCTCCTTGCTCTGGCAATTCCAATTGAAGAATTTTCTGAAGTTCCTCCGGTCTCTTGTGGTCCACTAATGAAGTACTCGATGGTTTGAGGTTGTTATGAGTGCCGTTGGTTCCATTGACGCCATTTTCCAATGCCTTCTGGCCTAAGGGATCTTCATCTGCAGACCGGATGAAGGGAATCAGGAGGTCTTCGACCGCACTTAGAAGCTAAGAGAATATATATTTATTAGCACCGGAAGTAGTTCCTCTCAGAAGCTTGTTGAATTATTTTTTAGAACGTAGCAAGCGCATTCTGACTCACACTTCGCACTTCTTCCGCGCGGCGGGACGGGGAAGAATCAGCCATCTATGACTGGTTGTAATTCTAGAATAATATATAGTATGATATAATATAGGAAGGAAGAACCTAGATATAGGGGAAAGGGTGTGTACACCAAATTTGGCAATGGTTGAAATATTCAACAAGGGCCAAGGCCATTCATAGAAATTACGATCAAAGGACCCATTCTGTCACCGGCACCGTTGCGGATCCACTGGAGAAATGGATGGCGACAGACTCGGAGACTCTGACATCATGGTTCCAGAGGCCAATGATGGTTCCAATAACAGTCCTTAGATTTGGCTTCCGAGCGAAAAGAGATTTAGAAGCATTTAGGGTCTTCTTTACGATGGTGGGGAAGACGGAATTTCTTATCGTTCCATTTGATTCATGCCCCGCACGTGCTTTAGTTCAACAAAAAGATACGCTGCCTTGCAAATCAGGCAGATTAATGTCTGGTCTAGTATAAGAACGACGATTCTATTCCCATCAATAGACGAAAAACACATTCCTGCTATGTTCCGGGGCCTTCGAAATACGATGTTTCTTGTATCGATTATGATGTTTGTCGGCAATTGTGCCGATCATTTACGATATTGAATTCACACTAATGCAACCTGTATAAATTGCGTGCTTTTGATATCCACATAACCAATCCCGTGACCCTTATATACATGCATGACTTTTGTTGCAGAAAGTTCGTTATACCCAAATGAACACGATCGAAACTAGGCAGTTACGCCCTTCTGCGCACCTTTTTTCGCATCCTCCTCTGCCTTTGCAGCAAACTTAGCCCGTGCAAGTTCTATTCTAGACTTGGGTCTATCTCCAGAGCCATTGTTGTTATCAAAACCTTTGGCTTTCATAGCCCATTCGCCCCGTCGTCGCTTGTAGAGATCCATCGCCCAGTTCCTCCAGACAGCACGGCCGACGAAAGAGTCCCGAAGCTCCATTTCATGCTGAGTCAACTCCTGTGCCATTCGCTCCTTGATAAAGAAAATGTCCTTGGTCGCAGGCCAGAGTGCGTCTACCACATGGGATCCGCTGCTATCGAGGGCAAGCTCCTTCAAGTGACTGGTGAAGCGTGGAGCAAACTGTCGACGGAATTGAGTGGTAGATGTCGGAGATGTAAGAGCTTGTTGTAGGACGCGAGATGCGGTGGGATCCTTGGCGATCTTAACGAGTGATTCCGAAGATTGCGCCAACAGACTTGTATAAACGAGCCCGCTTATCGGACCAGGAGCAGTGAGCATTGTCTGTGCAAGTAGCGAACCATGGAGCTTTTCTCCTGTTGATGATTGACTGGGAGCAACATTGGCCGCCTTCTGCTCTGACTCTTCAGATTCCTCTTGGGTTGTGTTCTCTAGTCGCAGAATTTGTTCCAGTCTCCGAGCAGGGTCTGTATCGTAGGCTTCCTCTAGGGCTCGAGCGAGGGGTGCTGTGTCAACTCCACGGACTAGGCATCGCTCAATAAGCACTTTGGGAACGACCATCCTAGACCGCTCGAGAAGACTAGGAATCTGAGGAACAATCCGCTCCAAGGCTTGTTGGAGATCATCCTTTCCGAGTCTCTCCAGCACTCGAAGCACAACATACCCGGCGGTGATATTGCGGGCAAGGGAAGTTATTTGGTCGCGGAAGAAGTTCTTGTAAAGACCCTTGAATGCCTTTCCGGGCATACAACGCACAATTGTTTCGAGTAACCGAGATCCCACTGGGTCATAGAGTAATCCGCGCACAAACGTTGTGGTCTCAGAGCCCTCCTCAAAGCTCTCATCCGGAATTAGCCGTCTTGTTATAGAATTTGGATCCTTGGCACTCGATTTTCCAAAATGCGAGAGCTCCAAAGACACTAAGACTTGAAGCACCGGATTTCCAACTGGATGAGTCGCAAGTGCTCTCAAATATGTGTCATCAAGTACGGAGACCATGTCCTTCATAATCTTCTTCAAAGTAGCCTCGAACACATCCGGTACGCTTCTTTTTTGCGCAGAGGCATCCCCATCCTGTGTCTCTCCCTGTAGTAGACCCAATTTCTCTTTCTTACGGCTTGCAACAACCGAGTCGTTCGCTGAAACGTCCACAGGCTCTCCCGCAAGCACAAGAAGCAAAACTCTGATTGTATGTGACGCGAACCGTTCTGTCAGTAGGTAACCCCAGTTGCCCTCCAATTCTTCGACCACCTTGATGAACATCTCTGCCAACGACAGTTCAGGCTCGGGCTCCTCTCCCTCTTCCTTGTCTATATCCATCTTATCACTTTTCGACTTCGAGACTTTCTGTGTTACACCGGGTGCAGCATTGATAAAGAGAGTCTCGCAGCAATGACTAGCAAAACGATGCTGCACAAGATTCAGGAAGTGGCCGATAAATTTGTTAAAAAGCCTGTGAATTTGGCGCATATCCGACATCGAAATCAGTTTCTCCATGAGCCGTGAGCATCCCTGACTGCATGCGATTTTCAACTCCTTTCCGTCAGCCTCTTTATAGACACTGTCTAGGAATATTCTGCGCTCATCTGCATCCTGGAATTGGTTCAATTCCAACACCTCATTGGCTCGAGAGAAATATTCCTGTTCCTCGGGATCGAGAAGACCATAGAAGGGCATATCACCGGGAGGCGCAGCACTTTGATTCTCATCGTAGTTTCCATCGTAGTTTCCATCATAGTTCTCATTGTAATTCTCGTCGAAAGGTATGTAGTCGGCTCCTTGATTGATTTCGTCCGACTCGTCCGTCGAGGGCTTCATCCGTTTCGGGAGGGAATCTTCGGGGGCTTCTTCGCGCTTCCGCTTCGCGGCATCTTTCTCAGCCTTTTCAGCCGCCCGGCGACCTCTTTTTTGGTTCTCGCGAGGCATAGTGTGATCGTTGGGGGATATTAAGTGGTTAGAAGAGAGAAGTTCTTATCCGGGCCTTTTGCGCTGGAAATTTTTGGGATAAGCGGTGGTCCAAGCGCCTTCCGCGCATCAACTAAGCATGTGTTTGTCCTGTTTGCTTGAGTTACTTTTCCCTTTTTGGATAAATGTTTTCGTCGATTTCATAAGGTGATAATGTACAGTAGTCAACTAGTTAATTTGGTAATGAAGGCAGTCATAATACAACCAAGAATGCAAGAAATTGTGAGACAGATTATACAGAAGAGTAGATTGCAGAGATGTGTCTCCCGCACTCCACGCGCTGCTCCATTTTCACTGTGCGGGAGCCAATCTTTCCCTTGTGACGAGGCATGACCTGAAGCCGTGCCTCCTGCTCAGCAAGTTCGCCTTTACCCTCCGGAGGAGCGTTGATATGAATTGGCTTGGATTGGTTGCTTCTCCTGCCCGTACCAAGTTGGAAATGCTCATTACCTCCCCAAAAGAGCACATCGAACCCAAAGTTGGTGGCATCGTTCAAAGAATTGCTAGGCGATGAATCGATATGAGCATTGTTGTCCAGTACCGCTGATACGTGCGTTGTCCCCACTGATAGATAGCGAAGATGAATAGGTGTCAATTGCTTCTTCCGTTCGTCATACTCAAACAAACCGCTCAAGGACTTGACCTTGGTGGGGGCCTCTTGCATGTGAGTCCATTTTCCATTACCAAGAGCACCCCAAATTCCTCTTCCGCATGTCCAGGTGTCAGCCGTAATGCGGTCCAAATCGCGGATAGCGGAAGGGTTTTCACCAGGACCAACGATTCGTTGTGCATCCACGGTGAAAAAGCTGTTGGCACCACCGGCTGCAATTCCCGTTACCTTGGGGAACCACATATTCCCCTTGTAAAGGTTTTTGATGGGTACAGAGGTAGGTGTGTCACTAAAAGGTAGTGCGGCGTCAAACGCCATACCCAATTGTCCGAAGGAATTATCGCCAAAAGTAAACAAGCTACCATCCTTGCTTAGAGCCAGAGAATGATAGTCTCCGGTAGCGATTTGCGTAATCTTGGTGCCCTTGAATGCCTCAATCTCATGACACATGTCGACTGGCCCTTTAGGTCGGGTTGCCCAAGTCAACCCTGGGATACCAAGCTGTCCAAAAGATGGATAGCTCTCTGTAGAAGAAGCGACAGAGAATACGCGGCCATGGTTCGTCAAGAGAAGGGCATGCTCTAATCCGCCGCGGAGCATAGTGACCTTCTCACCCAGCTTCAGGCTAGGTTGCAGCAACCGGTAACTTACTCCAGATTTTCCAGACCAGAAAGGTACCCAGGAGCTTTCTTTAGGTTTTCGGCCGGACTGTTGATCATCCTTGGCAATTGGAAGAGAGTAAACACTGCCGTCTGCTGATAATGCGAGTATTCGGTCGTTTGACATGCACAGCGAAGTCAAATTCTTTCCTGCCAAAGTCTTTGTGGGCTTGAACTCGGACTCTGAATAGCCCTTACCCCACTGAATGAGGTCACCGTTTTCTGCAATCGCTGCACCAGACTTGTCAGAAAGCTTAAGGTCTCTGAGCACCTGGCCGTCAAAATAACGAATTCTCCGAGGGCTTTTGATAACAGTCTCCTTAGAGTTGGGGTCCACAACACGATAGGAATTTGTTCCCCATACATATACGCCGGGACTTTTTAAGCTTCTTTTGTGTTGAACATACTGCGACTCCAGTTGCTCAGTGGCCTGGGAGAGAGTATGAGCCTTCTTGTCTGCTTGACTTCCGGCCGGATTCTTATCGAGTGTCGCATAGGTGTAGACGAGAAAAGCAGCGGCGCCTGTTCCCGCAAGGCCTAGAGAAGTTTTAAGCCAACGTGAAGAGGATCCAGACTGTTCCGATGCATTAGGGCCATTACTGGCATAACCTCTTCTCCCGGTAAAGATAGCAGGCCGAGTAGTCCGAGGAAGACGACGTGAGACGGTGACAATATTTATCACGGGCTGTCGCGCTCGAGATGTCCACATGGTTTTTTGGCGCTTCCCTCAACAAGCGCACATATCTTTTTTGATAGCTACTGTATAAAAGTATGCCTTTGGTCAGGTTTTATCAGGAGCCCTCCAATTGGTTTATTTGTTACGTCAAGTAGCGGAAGCGGAATGCGGCGGCAGAATAGCGCCTCGAAGCGGCCACGAAGATCACAGCGACCAATTGGTTCCTCTTTGCCTAGTTCCCATATGAGTTTAATTATGGAAGTGTGTGCTCCCCTATAGAGGTATAGGCGCGATCCTGTATTTATCCCTTTACCCTTCACTTTGGACCTCACAATGCGACAAGAGAATGCGGGACGGCGATCTCGTCGGCAAACTGTCCCGTCCCGTCCGCCTCTAGAATTGACAGCCAAGGAGACCGAGGAAGCTGAGGCAGTACCAGATGGCTTGGATTCGATTGGGGACATTCATAATGAACTTGAGTTTACCCAATGGTACAATGAGTTGGAAGACAGCTTGCTCGAGAGTAGCTACGATGAGTACCAGTAAGCGCCATGCCGCGAAGCCATTGGGAGGAACTTAGGATATCCTGAAGCCTGACACGTGTTGTAATTAGAGCCTGCCTTCATGAACTTCAGATGTCGAAGTCACATCTCGACACGCTGCTGTCTGATACCTCATCAACCCTCGACCTCCTATCAAACCTGTCCAAAGACTTTAAAGCAGTAGAATCGCAGACGTCCAATCTTCAGAACCAGTGCGAAGGGCTCCTCTCTGCTCAGAAACGTGACTCAGAGCTAGCTACAGATATCCAAGATAACCTCCAATACTATGACTTCCTGGATCCCGCTTCAAGGAAACTTAACGCTCCGGGAGCTGGTAATACGGTTCGCGGTCAGGACTTCTCCGACATGTTAAGGCGACTCGACGAATGCTTGGACTATATGGAAATACATGTCAGTGCCTTATGGGCGTGTTTGATTGGTGAAGTGGCTAATATGTCTCTTACAGGCCGATCAAAAAGAAGCCGGTGTATATCGTTCCAGGTATAGACTTCTGATGACACGTGCCCTCACGCTCATTCGTGGACACTTTGTTTCTGCACTGCGCGACGTATATTTGAATGTCTCAAAGAAGATAGCAGAAAAACAGCTCAATGATACTACTATGTCTGCTCTGCTCTATGCGAAGTTCAGAGTTGGCGCGCCTGAATTGAAGCAGATCGGTCTGGAGATCCAAAAGAGAGCGGTTCCCCCACTGGATCCCGAGCAAGGAACGGTAGCTGAATATCAAAGTCTTCTCAATGAACTCCATGCCAATTACGCAGCTATCCGTGGGAAACTGATTGTGCCACTAGTGCGCAAGAAACTCAATGAGATTGCGCAGGCCCCAAGTACGTCGACGGATCTAGTTGCTTTCGCTCGTGGTAGTATCAGCTACATCCGCGGTGTATGTCTGGACGAATTTGACCTGTGGGGTGAATGGTTTCACGGACAGGGAGGCTTATACGACTTTCTGGAAACAATATGTGAGCCTCTTTACGACCATCTTCAACCAAGAATCATACACGAAGATAAAATAATCAAACTCTGCCAACTTTGTGCTCTTCTTCAAACCCGTTACCTTTTCGACCAGGAGGAAGAGACCGAGCCCACGGACGTCAACCAACTTGACTTCTCTACACTGATTCAACCTGTGCTGGAGGACGTCCAGACTCGGCTTGTTTTCCGCGCCCAAGCCTTCCTTCGCGACGAAATTGAACGCTACAAGCCTCGCCCCGATGACCTTGATTACCCTGCGCGCAACAAACAGGCTTCCATATCAGTTATGGATGGGCAACTTTCGGGCAGGAAAGTTACGGCTGCCGATGCTCTCACAAATCTCCCCAAGCCCGCAAAGCAGCCGGATGACGGCGTAGACTCTCCGTCAGAACAAGACTCAAAGTGGGACTTCGAGTCGCAGGTCTCGCCCAGCAACTGGTACCCTACATTACGGAAAGCCATCTGGCTTTTGAGCAGGATCTACCGCCTTGTAAATGTACGAAGGCCCCAACCCACCTTGTCAATTAGACATTCTGTGTATGCTGACAATCTGTTCATAGTCCACTGTGTTTGATGATTTAGCGCATCAAATCGTCCACCAAACCATCCTCTCTCTCCACTACGCAAGCTCCCTGATCGCCAGCAAATCCGTCACAGACAGCCAACTGTTTCTCATGAGCCACTTGCTCATCTTAAAACAACAGATCGTCGCCTTCGACATCGAATACGTTGCCCCTGAAGTCTCATTCGACTTCTCAGGCGTCACAAACACATTCTGGGAACTAAGAGAAAGAGGCGGTCTCTTCAACCCCCGTAACCTGATGCGCCTCGTCGGCCACGGCCTACTACCTCGAGTCGTAGAGAACATGCTAGACGCAAAGGTGGAGCTGGACGGACGTCTGAGAACAGTGATCAACGATTTCATCAGCGGAATCGCCACCACAATGACGGCCTCCCTCCCGGCCAAGTTCGTCGATACCCGGAACCTGCAGCGCGGAGAACTTATCTATCCCACATGTCGAAACATCGAGAAAGAAGTCCCGAATCTCCGGACGATCCTCAACGACTACCTCGATGATGTCCGTATGAAGGAAACATTAGTGGGTGCCGTCCAGGAACGCGTTATCCAGATTTACGAAGAATTCTTCGACAAGTACATGTCATCGGAGAAGAGCAAGGGGCATTTCGTTAGTACCAAGGGCAAGGGCCGCGAGGATGCCGTGTGGGATGTGGACACCTTTGCAGAGTGGTGTGAGAGTATCTTCCGAGTTGGTATCTCCGATGCAAACGATGAAGCTACGAGCAGGAGCAGGAGCGGTAGCCTTGAGTCTAGGAGTCAGTAGCTGGCTTATCTTTTTGGATAGATATCAAGTTGCTGAATGTATATACAACAACCTCTATACGGGAGAGTTATCCTCTTAATACCATGTCCACATTGTCACAAGGTCTAAACCTACTGTACGTTTGTTAAAAAGAAAAGGTTTCATGACCACATCGTCCATAGTGGCAGGTGCCGATATAAAGCCTGTACGATGTCTTTCGCCAGAAGATATTCTTGTTCTTTCTAGATTACGTTTCGAGTACTACCAAGCCAGTCGTCATGAGGAGAAACCTGGATATCATATTTCAATTGACAGACCACCACTCCACTTAGAGTGGTTGCATTATGGTTCTGGCAAGTATATACACACAACGTTTTAAGGAATACTGAATTGGGTATGATCAGCAAAGAACAGTACAGCCGAAAAAAGATATATACGCGCTCAATGACGATGCTTCAAATGGAGATATAATCTAGAGAACATGACGGATCTTTGCGTAGAGTTCAGTGTCGAGGAAGTTGTACTTCGGATCAGGTTCGCAGAAAGGGTGACGGGTGAGCAGCGTTTCAGCAGTCGGGCGATCGAGTGAATCACTAATTGAGTCTTGTGTCAGTACATTTGTCCATTCATGCAAAGGTCGGGGTCACAGCAGGAAGCACTTACATAGTAAAGCAGTCGTACATGAAAGCAAGCGCCGCTGGACTAATGTTCATGGAAACGTCCTCGGGAATCGGAGGCGCTTGACTTAGGCTTCCAAGCTTGAATATAGCACCAATGGCCTCTTCCCTGCTCCATGGCCGTCGGCCTGCGAACATTTCCAGTACTACGCATCCAAGTGACCAAATATCCACCTTGGCACTGTAGCCCTGGCCTTGAGATTGGATAACTTCTGGCGCCATCCAGAAGACTGATCCTTGCATGGAATTTGTCGAGTCATTTCCATAGATGTTGTCTGACTTCTTAGAAATGCCAAAATCAGAGATCTTACACGTCCCATCCAAGTCCAGAAGAATATTGTCTGCTTTCAAGTCACGATGTAGGATTCCCTGATTATGAAGATAGGCCAGTCCGCTCAAGGTTTGCTGTGTAAGTGATTTCACGACACTTTCTTCGAATTTACCATGTTTGCGGAGACAACTGCCGATGGAGCCACCAGAAATATACTCGAGATAGATTGAGATAGACAACTCTCCCCGCTCACATCCAAGATACTGTACTATATTGGGATGTTCAAGGTGTTGCATCGTGTCGATCTCCTGATCCATAGCGGCGACCATATCCTTCATCTTGTCCTTGTCTTGTCCAGCGATTCTAGGATTGATTTCCACCTGCTTGACAGCCAAGACTTCACCGTTATCTGCGTTCATGCCCAGATAAACTCGGCCGTATGTGCCTTTGCCAATAAGCTGACCGCGAATGATGCGGAAGGTTGGCTGTCTTTGGGGTACGCTTGTAGAAGGGGCATTGTTTTGAGGAATAGGATCGAGTTGGCTGAGCCGGCTGCCTGGTTTAGGGCTAATTTGCATAATCCTTGCTCCAAACATCTTCGTACTTTTACGCCGGAGGATATCGCCAGATTTTTGATTTCCTGTAGAGGATGTGACACTCCGATTCCTGCTTGCTTGGTTGGCGCCCCTGGCAACTTCACGGATTGACTTCATCCGGGTAAGTCCACCGGAGCGGTTGACATTGCGTCGAGCAACAATATTAGCCTCTTGTGGTTTGATCGTCGGCTCACTCGAGCCTAATGTAGATTCACTAGGATTGGGAGATGGCTGCGGCCTTTCCTTTTGGCTCAGCTCACTTTCGGCGGCAACTCTGCTCGCTGGTGACGAGGGAGGGGATGCGCCTTGTCCATCTAGATAAGGCGCATCGAGATCAATATTGGGGAAGAAGTCGTCCAGGTACTCAATGACGCCTTCTACGGGAGGTCTGCTTGCCCAGATATCGCCTCGAGCGAACGAATCCCTCCGGGTGGGCTTCTCTTCCTCAGGCGACGCGGTCATGTCGGACAACGACCCTGTTCTAGGATCTGGATCACCACTTGAGCCCGCAAAGGTTTCGCGCGTGGCACTAGGTGACCTGAAGCTCACAGACAATCCCTTTCTCAACCTATTTTCGGTGTTTACAGTGAGCGAGGGCTTTGCCGATAACTTTTGACTAGCCGAAAAACCAATTACGGTATCTTTCTCCTTAATCGGCGATTTGCTATTCGCCAATGGGATTGCGAAAAGGCCATCATCTGAATCATCGTCGTCTGAATCCTCCTGCGGCATTGGCGAGCGCTGGAAGGAAACGTTGGTTTCCTCGAAGTCAAACTCGGGTCCAAAAGACTTGCGAGACTGTACTGTTGGCCGTGGCTCCTCAGAAACAGCAGTCTGAGCAGGTGATTGGTTGGTGTGCGAGGTTGGAGTCTCTTGGCTGTCCTCTGCCGCAGGTGATTGTGAGGTACTTTTCGATTCGTCTAACATATATGTTAGGTATGGCCATTTCAAGGAACGCTAGCAATGGGTGAAGAGAACATGTGCGATGGTTGAGAATATGTATATCAAGCTTACCTGCGATATTACTTTCGGATGGAGCCACAATGTCGGTATGGGTATTCGTTCCAGCCTGTGATGTAGACAGCGAAGGCGTCGGCGTTCCTATGGCACTAGTCATCCTACCAACACTAGCCAGAACCGCTCCAAGGCCATGGGTCTGGACAGGTTGTTGAACGCGGGGGCGATCAGCATCTTTCTTCCTTAAAGAATTAACCTTGGTGAGAGTATGGGATTCATGAGGCGCAGTGGGTGGTTTGCGAAGCGGTACAAGAGGCTCTGCCTTTTTGTCTTCGTATGGAGATATACGAGGTGAATCGAAATCAATGACTCCTTCTCGTCTATAACCCGTTTCACCATAGGCATCCTTTCTCGGCTGAGGTACCGATGAGACTTTAGAGATCCGATTGGCCTTCTGTTTCCTCTCGACCTCCCGCTGGTATTCCTCACGGCGAGCTAATAGGTCTGCCTTCTCCGGGTCAAGATGCCCAGCGTCCTGGCTACCATCTACCGGGGATGCCGCGAGTGAAGTCTGAGAGATATCACGGGTAGGCAGTTTAACAGCCGGGGCCCTTAGCTGTTGGCGTGATGCCACTTGTGGAGAAGTGGGTTTTGCAATCCTGTTCAAAGCCTCGTCATCCAGTGGTTTACGGTGTAGTTGATGATGGTGCCCACTTGTAGGCGATGCCGTATGCTTTTCGGGGAATGAGACGCCAAGGCCCGCAACGTGCGGAGAACTGCTCGCACCTGCAGGCGTGTGTGATCCTCGTACAAAGAATTTCAGAGAACCAAACGAATCCGATTTCGTCTTCCGACAGAGAGCCAGGCTGGGGTCATTCAAGGGTTCATCATGCTCTGTCTGCCCCAGTTCAGTCAAAAATATCTGAGCGCCGGCCCAATCAGATATCCCAAGGTTCTGGAGAATAGTGGCGCGTAGCACCTCCACGGATTCCGTTTCGGTAATATCCACTAAACGGTAATTCCATCCATCCATGGTCGCAAAGGCCCACTTTCTCCCTCTGTGTCCAGATTTTGCTCGTAAGGCGAGCCGCTCGTGGTCTGAAACAGACGAAGACGACGGACGTTCACCCAGTGACATGTCGCTACTGCTGAAATTCGGCTTAGTGTAAGGGAGATGTGAAGCATTCTGACGCATGTTCACAGGGCTAGTGGGAGACTCCAGAAATTGCTCCTCCGGAGATGGGTGGTTAGAATCGCCGGTCCTCGATCTCTTTTTGAAGAAATGCAAAAGGCGATTGCTATGGTCCTTTGAGTAAGATGAAGGATTGTCCCCACTCAACTGACGGTTGTAGGGGTCTTGAGGCGACGGACGAGTATTATCCTGTCGTATTGATTCGTAATATCGGCGGCCTGTGGTTGAGTCTGAACTGTTGCCACGAGAATGCTCGAATCGGACCCCCAGGTCACCCGTGGATGACGATGCACCCTGATGGGCGAGAGTGGCATGTTGTGTAGCCGGGCTGCCACTCTTGGGGCTGCCCTCGTATGGTCGAGCAGGAGGGAAAAAATGGCCACAATCACTAGAAACAGAGGGGCTCTGCCTTCGGTGGTCACCAGCGATACTAGACAGAGCAGCTCGTGAGATGTCTGACCGAGTCCAACTTGTGCCATCGTTCGAGTTAGGCTCTGATGACAGGTGGTCATGGCTAGCAGGAATTGGCGTCGTAAAAGAACGCGTTTGCACGCTTTGCCTCTGGGTATACACAGGCTGTAGTGTTTTGAGGTTGGGACTATTTGCCACAGGACCAGCAGATAAGGGTTCATGTGCAAGCATGGGAGAAGCCTCCAGAACACCCTCAGGGCCACTGCCCGGTAGCGTCTGCGAGTCGCGTTGTTTCGGAACAGGTATCCCAGCATCATGCCCCCCATCCTCCTGGATTTGGCGAATTAGCTTGCGCATACGTTTACCCTCCTCCCGTTCGCGAGTCTGGTCCCATCCAGTCCCACTGCTTTCGCATTCTTTCGCGAGTTGAGGATACACAACGTTATGCAGTTTACCCAAGTTCGGTCGGCCATTCAGCCCATGACCTAGTTCAATAAAATCAGCTCCTTGAAGCTCGAGGGCCTTGAAAGTTTCTTGCCAGTCCTTGGAAAATCCATTCTTCGCGAGCCACAGCAAGACCCTTTCGAGCGGCCACTGAGCAGCAGCCTCGGCAGGCGACATGCCACCAGGTAAGGTGTTGCTGCTGAGGTGCCGATGACTTGATGACTTTGTAAGTTCTGTAGTTTGTCCAAGATTCGGTAATTGCTCGTGGGCACCGTCATTAGCTGCTAGAGCCGAAGGGATGGTGCGAGCCGATGGTGTAGGTGGAATAGTTCCATCCCGTTTGTATGCAGAATCCGGGCTAGGATATTCGTACAATTGGCTCACTTGGGGTCTTTGTCGATCGTTGCCCACCAACGTTCCTTGGTTCTCATATGCGGGAAGCGTGTTCGAGTCGAATGCAGGTATCCCAACACCTGGACCGAAGGTTCCGCCTTGCGGCACGTAGGTTGCAGATGTACGGCCGTCACCAGAAGGGATTGACAAAGGTGTTCGGTTATAGAGTTGTTGGTTCGCGGGGACCAGTGGAGGAGGTGGAGGAGGGGGTAGATAGCCTTGGGACAGTGCTTGTCTTGCCGCCCAGTTCTGCTGCCATCCAAGGGTGTTTTGGGCTTGTACTTGTGGGTTGGATATCTTCGCAGCACCGTATGCTGTTCCTGGGGGTGGTCCGGGAGGTGGTGGGGGAACTACCCCTTGAGTTTGTGCTGGCTGATATCTCGGAGGGGGAGGAGGCAGTAGTATGTGCGACTGAGAGGACTGCGCCGAGGGAGGCGGTTGAACCGGAATATACTGTTGCTGCCGTTGACCGTCCATGGTATCAGTCTTTTGGTATATGCCAATGCTATAGGGTACACCAAGTCGTCAAGAAACCCCGAATATTCTCCGCAGCTGCCTGGTCCTCTTCCAGCACACGCTTTCCTGAATCCTGGCAAACGTGATCCCAGAATTTTATGGTATGAAAGTGAAACTCATCATCGGCGCTCAGCACTGTTTCGGTGGATAAATATTCTGTAACGGCTTTTCGCTGTAGGCGCGTGGATACTCGAGGAACAACAAGTCTTGTTTTTAGAGGAAGGATGGTATTGGGCAAATATAAAACATCTCCGGGTTTATCAATCAATGATTTGGCTCTATGTCCCAAGCAGTACCCAGTGTCTTCAGCCAATTATGCACAAATGGTGTTACAGGCAGTAAGCTGGCGCTGTTGATTTCAAGGTTTACTCTCGATTGCGCGGATGGCGTGGGAGGCAATCCAGAGAACTCCAAAGGCGCGATGGGAATGAGGTGAAGCATTTATTGGCAGGACAAGAAACAAATATTATTGTCTTAAAGCAGCTAAGTGTGAATAAGTAAGCGATAGCCTCGAAAAGGTGCGTTGATCAACCCCTGATCGTAGTAGGCATGCTAGAGTAGTATCATCGCAGGGGGAGGGGGGTAAATCGGAAGGGCCGACGGGGAGAAATAAAACATACCACAGCCACTTAATATTAAATTGCTGGGAGGAGAGCGATAGTTAGCTCCCTGACTGGATAGATGACAGCTGGTCAAATCTTGGCGCCACGAAGGAGTTATTGCCGGAGCTTCTCAGCTTGGGTCGAAATGCGCTCTCTCAATCAACGGTCGGGGTAATCAAGCAATCGAGGCCCGGCCAAATTGTTTTAACGGGAGGAGTTTAATTAACGAAAGAAACGCCAGAGCTTCTTGACGCCAAATCACGTGGCCGATAAGCACCCCGTCTTGTTTCTCTCTCACTTCTTAATTTTTCTTATAAATATTAATTTTATTCGACTCCATATCGTATTTTACTTGAAATTAATCCTTATTCTTTTGCTTTGACTTGCCTTTGTTTCTCTCCTTTTAATCCAAGGATCTAGCCCTCCATTAAATGCCGCCATTTCCGAAACAACTTTGATTACGGTTCCTCTTTTCTCGCCGAGTTTCTCACCATAAGCTTGTCTCGAGTCATTGGAGGATGTGATAGGCAAGAGATTTGAGACATGTTGTTCAGTCAACCTCGTTTAGAGGCAAACTAGTGATGTTTAGGATCTATAGCGCATGAGAAGTTGAGAACACCTCACCAGAACTACCTCCTTTTCCCCACTTTTAATTGTTGAACGTTTCTTTCAGCCCTACAGCGGTCCCTGAGTCCAGCTAGCCACACTTTCTTCCCTGAACAGCACTTGAACAAAGCTTGTTCAACCACCCCCGTACACCCGAGATTCTTGTTCTTCTCCTTTTTTCCTTATATTCCAAGAACCTTTGATTCATTGTGGTTCAATCCAATTGATTCGAGTATTAACTTAAAAGTATTAAGAAAAAGGAAGAAAGAGAGGTGAAGTAGAAAACGAACTCATTAAAACTATCGCAATGAACAGAATCTCTTAACCACGTGTCATGATGAAATTAAAGATCCATGGTGGCATGCCAACTGAAACCGATTTCCCGAATCGTAAAGAAGGAAAGAGTTTAGTCTATTCCGGAGTATGTTTTGAAGAAATTAAAGGGACTTGTTCCGCTCAGCGGCCGATTCGGCTGTCAATTTCAAACTGGCTGGGCAATCGTCGCGAGGCATGTGGAGCTCAACCAACTACTCTGATTAGTATCACTGGTACTTTTCAGACAGGGGCAAACGGGTGGTCACCTACCTGCAGACAAGGTGCCGAAGCAAACTCTTCATTTGCGAAAAGCTCCCTTAACTCGTCCCGGGTTGTGACTTTGTATCCTTTATACTTGTCCTTCGCGCCGAATGCCACAGGGATGTTCAAGAAGTCCCAGGGCTGGATGTCATTGTAAACAGCTTCCCATCCATGAATATACCGTTCGATGGTATATCCTTCGTTGCAAATGACAAAGCTACGTATGATGTTAGCTGGGCATGAGACTTGTGACACTCAAAGGCGAAACTTACATGATAGGGTTAAGGTTATTCCTAATCATGGTACTGACTTCCTGGAGCGTCAGCTGGAAACTTCCATCGCCCACGAAAAGTACAGTTCGTCGACCTTGCTCCTTCGCGGCCAGCGCGGCTCCTTGACAGGCTCCGACTGAATAACCGATACTACCCCAAAGAACCTGGCTAATGGCTGTAACACCTGCTGGGAACCGAGTGTCCCAGATACCGAAGTTGGCAGTGCCAGTCTCTGTGATAACAACATCCTTTTCTTTCAACCACTGCCCGACTGTAGGCCAGAGCCATGCGTGGGTAATCGCCTGTTCAGTTGATGCCTTCTCGTTGTCTGGCAGTAGGTTCGACGGCGACGAGACTGGCCCGACATTGAGATTGCCCATTCTTTGAACAATTTTTTGAAGGACGCCTTTCATGTTAATATCAGGATATTCGGAGTACCGGACGCGCACGTATGTACTGTGGAAGTCAATGGTGTTGAGTTGGCCAATACGGTAGGAGAATCCAGTCGTGTTGAAATCGGACTTGATAGCACCGATGCTCAGAATCAAGTCTGACGACTCGACTTGCTCACGAACACCGGGGTTTGATCCAGTACCAGCGTAAACACCGCCGTAGTTCTTGTGAGTCTCGTCCACTGCTCCTTTACCCATTGGAGCCACGAATGTGGGTAACCCAGATTTTTCCACGAACTCTTGAACTTCATCGAGCACACGATGGCGGATAGCACAAGCGTCGACAAGAATAACGGGTTTCTTTGCAGCGTGCAGATACTTCAGAACCACGTCCACAACATAATCTTCCTTTTCGGGATCGTTCGGTGGCAGGCTGAGGTCGAGAGGGGTATCCAGCCGTTCTCCCTCAATCTTCTTAGTCACCATATCGGTAGGGAGAGAGATATAAACCGGTCGACTGCGAAGCCAACATTCGCGGATAGCATTGTCAATGAGGGTCGCCACCTCATGAGTTTGGTTCAAGCATCCAAGAGTGCAAGAGATGTCGGCGCTCATTCTGGTGAAGACGTTGAAGTCGCCGTTGCCCAGAGTGTGGTGGAGGAGCATCCCATCCTTCTGTGATCTCGTATGCGGTTGGCCAACGATGTGAACAATAGGCACAAACTCGGAGTATGCACCAGCAATAGCATTGAGTGCCGATAGCTCACCCACACCGAAAGTGGTGACCAATGCAGCCATTCCATTGATTCGAGCATATCCATCAGCAGCGTATCCTGCATTTGACCACCGTTAGCGATATACACTACTCCTTTATCATGCTCAGAGATCCCAATGGTCATTCAGTAGAGACATACCAGCATTAAGCTCATTACAGTTTCCTACCCAATGAAGATCGCATTTTGGCAAGTAATCTAAAGCCACCAGGTTGTAATCCCCTGTGAGAATTGATATTGTCAGTACTTGCGTCGAAAGCTAGCACGTTGATACTTACCAGGAACACCATGTACTGCACGAACACCAACCTCACGGAGTCGCCTAAAGAGGTACTCAGCGACATCTATGGGCTTGCGAAGATCCCTTGTAGCGATATCTGTCGCCATTGTAAGGACTCAAGAAGAGAAATGGAAGGTATAGTAGATGGTAAGGTCTTGACTATGGTCTGTTGAATACTGGATTCGTCCTGGAAATATGGACAAGGGGGGTAGTTATATAGCAGTCCTGTACACCTCGATGTGCAACAAAAAGACTGACCATACGTCATGATAACGTGATGTCATGGGCTTCCAGGCCGAGTTGGACAAAACAGAGTACACCAAAATTACAAACTTACAATACCGTCAGCCACCGCTGCCATAGTTAAGGTCGCAATGCAGTTAAGGGCTGCGGTAAAAGAAATACAAAGTGTCTGGGCTATCCCTAGGGTAGTTCACGGTGAAGAACACTTGCGACCCAACGCAATGGAGAATGGGCCGATGGTTGGAAGATAGTCTATATCGGGATCTACCTGATCACTGGTATATCCCTGGTTCTCCATGCCGACGAACCCGAGGCTCCGAGTCGCTGGCGTGACAGTCAGCCCACCCCACCCGATACGGATGGGATGATACTCTTCCACTAAACCGAATGTGGACGTCTCGACACCCCCGCGGCGTTGCCGCAATGCCAATGATAATCAAGAATTTCCAGGGAAGACCACACAGCGGCACAGCGGCGAAACGGCATCAGACTTAGTAGCATTATTGATATGTTTATCTGGCCAAACTCGTGCAAACATACAGCAACCTTAACTTTTTTTTAGAACTAATCCCTGCGAGGAAAGGACGGCACCACTACCTAAATTTGACTCGGACTACATCCGTGAATGGCGGGAACAGGAAAAAGGACCATGCCGGACAACTCATCTCAGTCCTCCAAAAGAAGAAAGGTTGGCCTACTTTTGCTTCACCTCTCGGCAAGCGTGATCCAATGATCATCCAAACTTTCCCTTCTTCTCTTCGTTACATACGTTGCGCGGTAGTCAGGAGATCTAACGTGTGCTACAGGGAGGCAGTAATTGGCATAAGCGCCAAAATGGCAACTCTGGCATTGAAAGTGGGGACTGGGGAGTTTTTGTATCCTGCGAGATAGGAAAGGAAGGGAAATGCATCTCAGAGGTGCTTGATCTCTTCTCCCAGGTTAGTACGATTCTATGGGAGAACCTTTGACCAGAAAGATGCTGTGCTCTACAGCAATATTCCGGACTCTTCAATTGTGCAGCTGACATACGCCCTGTGCACCAGAGCATCGAAACGCCAGATGCGGGAGGTCAAGGTGGTGATTCCAGCTCGGAGGACGAAGATGATATCGAAGCCCAAATTAGAAAGGAAGTCGAAGGGCTGAAGCCTAGTTCGGCCAAACCTCGTCAGTTTCAGCCCATCAGGCTGGACATTCCGTGTGGTTCGTAGATGCTTTTAGCGCTATCCAGATATGACACAACTAGGACTAAGATTGATCTAGTATCCTTTATACGATTCGATAAGTCGATTGATCCCGAGAAACTAGTCCACCAGATCTGCGTGGATGCGCATGCCAATCCAAGCAAAAAGAGAAGCCGATACATCCAACGGATGACGCCTGTCAAATCTATCCGAAAGACCCTCAGTGTTGATCTAGAGGCTTTTGCACGTGAGATTTTAAAACCTCACTTTCACTCTGGTGGGGGTCCCAAAAAGGTATGTCACAGCACCTTAAGCTTTAAATTTGCAGGCATGTCCTTAGTGTTCACAAATGCAGTTCGCTATCCGACCTGCGATAAGGAGAAACCAAAAGTTCGACAGAGACAGTCTCATCAAAACAGTAGCCAGTGTTGTGGGACCTGAGCATTCTGTTGATCTTGAGAATTACGATCTTGTTATCCTTGTTGATATTATCCAGGTATGTTTCACATTAAACACTGTTCTCCTGCTCTTTAATTACGCTTTTCCGCATGGCTGACCTCTGTTTCCAGAATGTGATCGGGATGAGTGTTGCTGGAAGTGATTACGAGAAGCTTAAAAGATACAATCTGGCTGAGCTCTACAAACCAGCACCAAGCTCGCAGGAAGTTGAGTCCAAACAGTCAACTGACTGAATCTCGGTTTGAATCGACTTTCGTAGCATATGATACATTTGATTTGAGCGGTGAAAATAATAAATGTCAAACTTGGATATTTAATGCATTATTACAGTATCGCTCTAAAAAACAAAAAGACTAAAGAGGGATAAAAAAGAACAGAGGCCTGTGGGAAAGTAACGAACAAGTCCGGTACTAGGATGGCTTCAAAGCTCCACAGTGCTTCGTAGAATAGAGTATATAGCATGACCAGGTGAACACCTACTAGGACTGTAAGCATTTAGTCAGAATTTATCATTTCCCTCGCATTTGGGAGGAGGACAAGATCTTGGAAGAACCTTAATGAGGACCAACGCCAGCGGAGATATTTCCAGAACCATGGTCGTGACTTGATAACAGTACTATCAATATTGGGTCTTATGACTCTTCTTTAAATGGAAAATCTCGGGTGGCTTTATCTAGTAGGTAAAACTATGGTACTTAGTTACGAGGAGAGATACGCTACTATACGTATTGTTTTTCAAAAAATGCGTGTTGGTTACTTATTGAATGCTAGGAGTGGGAGATAGACATCAAGGTACCCGCCACTCAAAAGCTAAGGACAATAGCCAAGAGCTTTTTGGATAAGAGGAGGTTCAGATAGAATGTGGCTGAGGTTAGCATGGAAGGCGTTGCGGCGGGCGCTTTAATGGAGCTTAGACAGAATAGGAAGGCACCATAAAAGCTCGACTTACATTGTCCTACTAGTACTACTTACGGCAAGGTTAGACGATTCCTAATGTGCTACCTGTACTTAGCATGGGCCGGTTGGTTCTGGAAACAAAGTGGTGCTCTATGCATGTACATAAATCCATTTTTGTACGCGAAAGTTCAGACTTTATAGTACCACGTACCCACCACCAACAGAGATGTCCAGTTTGAGAAAATGATTGCACAACAGAAAGACCATCTTTTTTGTCCTCCTTTGCCCAAAATAGCAGTTACACTCGAGTCCATGTGATCCATTCGGTCTAGTCGTCATAGATGGAGAGGCCCACTTGCTTCCCAGTGGGAACAACTGGAATACTCTCGATTCCAAATCTCCAAACCTTAGGCCAAAGGTACCATTGTTTGACCTGTTACACGTGCTTGAACACGTGTTGCCTCGCCAAAAGGTACAGACCAGGTTTGTTACTGTTGCCAACGAACTGACTGTTACTCATTTCATGCTCCCACCCCTAACATTAGCAGCTCGCCATAATTCCTCGTCATGATGCGATTCATAATCAAGCGTAAAGACCACAGATCTTGAGGGTGTTTCCAGAATCCATCAGATGTTTCGAGTCTGTTTCAGTTGAGAATGGTATTTCTTCGTTAATATGGTCCAATTAGCGGTCTCCGTAAAGTAAATTTTTTTTTATATATCGGAGGATGTTGACTGATTCAGGGAGCCAAGAGTCTCAAAAACCAGCGCAAGACAGGTATAGATAACGGAAGGGGTGTTTTGGGAAATTAATTTGTGAAACTGCAAGTGCACAGATATATTTTGAAGGCGCACAAGTACTAAGACGAGACCACTACCTACAGGGGATCAAAACTCGTTCGGACGGGACGCTTTGTTGTCTTCGGCAAGGCGGGCCTCTGATTGGCTCAACTGCAGCGCACCTTTCTAAGAGAGGGAGCCTTAGGCGAAAGCCCCAGTTCTTAATGTCACTCACTCTATTGACCTCATCAGTGCCCGCATATCTCCGCGCAATCCTGTCGGCTCATTCCCTCGTCCACCCAGTCAGGGGGCACGTTCGCTTGAATTACTACAATGTCATTGAATCCAATTTTCTGGTTTGCTTTGCCGATTTCGGAAGAGAGCCAGTGGATGATTTGCCGGTGGTTGAATGTCTGGTAAATTGAGACAATAGCGTCTCATACAGCCGAACTGCAGAATACATGGGCGAACGAAGTAGGAGTCCTTGATGTGGATCCTCGTTTAGTCGATCCAATTTAACACTTCTGATAGCATCGTAGCCTTGGCTTCGTAGCGCTGTAGGGTGGTATTGGAGGACTTATGTCTGAACCATTGTTTTTCTTAACCCTCCACGTTCCCTCGTCCCTCATATGTTGCTTTCTATCTTCTATAAAGCTTGGCCATACGTGAAATTCGCCCTGGCTTCTATATAACATTCCATAATGAGCAAACTAGTATTCATCTTTGCCGACAAACTATCCTTCAAGCCAGAACAATAAATCATGTCTCCTTCCTTTAGTGACCATTACTCTCCCGGTTTCGAAGTATCTGAGAAACTGTGTACAATCATCCAGCGGATCTTCACTTCTGCGGTCCATGTTAGCAACATTTCTCCCCTTGACGGCCACCTCCATCCACTTTGTCTCTTATCACTATCCAATGGAACCCATGTACTTTTGAAATGTTCGCCGGCACCGATGACACCGTTACTACGGCGAGAGCAATTCATACTTGATACAGAAGCCCGTGCACTGGCTTTACTCGAGCAGAGTGGAATTCCTGGCATTCCGCAAATCTTCCATTACAACTCTCGAGGCAATTTGCGAGATTCCGCCTTTTTGATGCGGCATTATGTGACCGGAGCTACACTACATGAGATGGAACCCTGGCTCACTCCCCAGAATCGGAAAGATATTGACCGGCGACTGGGAGTCTTAGCTCAAAAGATTGGACAACATGTGTCTGATTCCTTTGGGACTCTGGAGCAGGTGGCCTGCGGCGCTGGGAGGCGATCCTGGCGAGAGGCCTTTGTTATCCTGTTTGAAAGCATTCTCCGTGACTCAGAGGATGTCTTCGTCAACCTTCCTTATGCTGAGATAAGGCACCAGCTTAGTCGGCTATCACCAGCGCTTGAGGAAATCACTTTGCCACGATTAGTAGTCATTGACTTTGGTCACCCTACGCAAGTGCTAGTAGATCCCGAATCCAAACAGTTATCTGGCATTGTGGACTTGGGCAAAACGCTATGGGGTGATGTCTACATGGGTGAAATATTCGAAGAGCCATCGTCTTCGATGTTGGACGGCTTTGGAGGATCGCAGATGGTAGGAAGTGAGATGGAGAAAATAAGGCAGCTTTTGTATGTGCCTCTGTCCTACAAGGAGTTTGGAATATGTAACACTGACTTTCCTTCTTTGTGACCACTTTTGACAGATATGCCTGCTATCGGTCGGTTGAAAGAGTCACCGTGCAATACTATCGGAATCGAGATATGGTTGCGGAAAATGATGCAAGGAGGCGGTTGACGATGATATTGAACAAGATGGCTGCTATCTGAGGGATGAACCCGGTTCTCAGACCTACCAAGGGGGTTGCACAGTACCGGCGTTTAGGTGTCTTTGATACAGGCCATAGATTTCATTTCCAGCGGGACTCGGAACTATCCAAAGAGAAGGAACGGGAATGGGAACATAGACCTGATAAAGCTAATATGGGGGTTAACTGAAACTCTGCTGGGCGGAAGCAGTAGGACAGGATCGTCTCAGTTAGAAGCAAATGCTCAGTCGATTGTTGCTGCCTAGCAGATCTGGCCTGTAGTACAAACTCTTGGCTCGGACTTGGGTACAGAACAAGTTTGCCAGGATTTACAGCAAGTAAAAGTACTACCTTTGTTCTAGAGAAGATAGACTAATAGGAGTATAGTTTCCCAGATATTTAAATATATTCCCAGCTGAGTAGAGGATTCCCCGACACATAAAGAACAAGAACACCCTAGATAAAAAACGTTTAGTATAATTTACTTCTATTACTGGTTTTTTTTTCGAGACTCTTCTAATATCGAAGTATGACCATTCAATTTGCTACTGTCTAGCTCTGATCTACTAATGCAGGGACTCAACTGGGAGTTCTACTTCAGAGACTACGTCTCTACCTGACAACACAAATAGAACTATACGTTCTAAAATAATGTTTCTAAGTATGTTCCCTTGGGAGATCTTGTGGACTCGGCCAACTATTGTAACCTTGAACTTTTCTACTTCAACGACTCGTAAAGCAAATATAATCCTCGCTCAACAGAGCCCCAGACTTAAACCCGCGCTGCTGATTTCACCCACCCAACTTAGCGTTCACAAAACTATGGGAAGGCTTCAAATAGTCTTTCTGATATACCCCACCTTTTTTATTTCTTGTCCTTTTTTATTTCGATTTTTTCCACCTGCTTCTTTTCTTCTTGTCGGTCGGTATGTATGTACTACTTCCTAGTACTAGTAGTAGCAGTACTCATACATTGATTGTCAGGAGGTCGTAATTTATAGGGCAGAAAAAAAAAACCTCCCCCAATTAAAGGCGGGGCTGATCGGCTGCCCTGCAACGGATTCCGCGCCATGACGCTTCAAAGCTCATGTGTGGGGTCTCCGCTCCGCACCCCTTCAACACCACGAAACACAGCTCATCTTTCTTTTTCCTCCCCTCCACACTCTTCTTACCTCTCAGTAGAGCTTCACATTCGCAGGAAATGGCGCATTTCCTGAGAGGAAAGCAAGCTGGCATCCAAAAGGACCTGTCCGATGGCTTGTCACCGGACTTGTTCGCCCTCGATGATGTATGTCTTGGCACCCAAGGCAACATTTTTCCCGTTGCTCACCTGTTCGCAGTTCGCTCGATATGGCATAAATTCTCAGATCAGCGCTATCGCCTACGATCCTGTTCAATCCCTGATTGCTGTTGGCACCAGTGATACTCAGTTTGGCAGCGGTCAGATCTATGTTTTCGGCCAGCGTCGGGTATCCGTTGTCTTTTCACTGCCCCGGAAGGCGTCGGCCAAGTTTCTACAATTTTGTGCCGACAAGCTTGTCAGCGTTGATTCGAAAAGTGAAATTTGTGTTTTCTCCCTCGAGACACGACAGACACTCTTCTCTTTTGCCCCTCCTAACCATGTCAGCGCATTATTGACGGATCCTAGCCTCGACTATGCCTTCATTGGCCTGCAGAATGGTATCCGGGCAACGCTTCCGCAACGGTTACTGAAGATGCGCTAACTGGTTTTCGTAGGTGATATCATTGCATACGATCTCGATCGTGAATCTTTAACGCCTTTTAAAGTTCCCAATCTCTGGGCCCAGCGTAATCCGCGAGCACGCTTTTGCCCTGTCATCGCACTCTCCTTTTCACCTCGCGATATTGGAAAGATCCTAGTGGGGTATCCCGAAGGGGCCGTGACATTCTCGTTTAAGCAGAACCTAGCACAGAAGTACTTCGAGTATGAAGTTCCCCCAGGTGCATTGGGTGGAAATTGCGATGTCCCATCCCAGGAGCCGCGCAGGCCAAGGCTTACCAGGGCCATCTGGCACCCTAACGGGATTTTCGTACTGACAGTGCATGATGACAATAGTTTGGTTCTATGGGACTCTAAAGATGGTCGCAAGATAGCGGCTAGGTCAATTACAACCCCCAATATTGACCAGCCCGGTGCTAGTTCTGAGAGACCACTGTCATCAGGGAGCGCTGTTGGGCTCAGGGACCCTATTACTCATATTGCGTGGTGTGTTAAGGGAAATGGGGATGATAGTGGACTTTTAATAGCTGGTGGTAAACCGAAGGCTGAGGCCAACAAAGGACTTACCTTCATCGACCTGGGGCCAACTCCAAATTATCAAACATCCTCTTGGGCCATAATTTCGAACTATTTCGAGTCTCCAAAGCAAATAGCAAATCTCCCAACGCCCCCAGGCGCAGAAGTCGTGGATTTCTGCCTTATTCCCCGCACATCGCCTTATTATGCTGGAGGACATGATCCGATTGCCTTGATCGCCGTGCTTTCTTCGGGAGAGTTGATAACCTTGAGCTTCCCAAGCGGCCATCCGATTACCCCCACCAATATGATTCACCCTTCTCTTTCATTTGTCCATCCTTTCGTGAACAAGATGACGCTTACGCCAGTCGATCGTTCAGCTTGGCTTGGTCTCAGGGAACGGAGGTCGCAAGGACCAAAATTCCTACTAGGTGGTGCGGAGGGGAAGAAGGTCCTCAAGCGCTTTGAAGATCGTAACGTGATTTCAACCGCTCATGCCGATGGCACCATTCGTCTCTGGGATGTAGGCCATGATGATGAGGTCGAGAATGGGGATGTCATCCAGGTGGATTTGGCTCGCGCCGTTGGTCGTGTCAGTAATGTTGAAGTCACTGAAATGGCTCTAAGCGGGTCAACAGGAGAGCTGTCGGTTGGCCTCAGGAGTGGTGAGGTCGTGATATTCCGTTGGGGCAGCAATGGAAATTTTGGCCACGAAGAGCCCGCCGGCGCTAACGAAGGACCGGGGAAGTTGACTAAGATCGTTCACAGAACTGATCCTGGGTTGAAGCAGGGACTTCTTCCCCTTACCCTTTTGGATATGCAACAAGGATCAGTCACCGCGCTGAAACATAGTCAAGTTGGTTTTGTCGCTGCCGGCTTCGAAGGTGGTGGTTTGGCGATCATCGACTTGCGCGGGCCGGCAGTGATTCATACAGCACGATTGTCCGAACTAACAAAGCCTAGCAAGCGGAGTAGTTTCTTGAGACACCGATCGTCTGAGGACGCCCCACCAGAATGGCCAACGAGCATTGAATTTGGGGTATTGACTTTGGAGGGAGAAGGTAGGAAAAGACAGCGAGGTCTTGAGATAATCCAAATTATGCTAACCCTTGGGTTTCTGCAGATTATTCGAGCATTTGCTGCTTTGTAGGTACCAACCGGGGAAATCTTGCAACCTTTAAGATCCTTCCAACGGAAAATGGAGGCTATATGGCTTCATTTGCTGGATCAACTTTGCTGGATGATAAGGTTATAAGCATCATTCCTATTGATGCTGAGAGTGGTAACCTTGCCTTAGCTACTCCGAACGCTGTTGGGGGTTTAAGAAATGGGGTTCGGGTACACGGTGTCGTCGTTGCTGTAACCGTTTCTGGCTGCAGGATTTTCAAGCCTGCAACTTCTAAGGGCGCACATAAATCGTGGGAAGATTATCTGTGCGACTCTGCTGCAGTTGTCAAAGTTGAGGGTCGAGGTTACAGCCTTGTTGGGCTTTTTGGTGATGGAAACGTGCGGGCTTTCTCCATCCCAGGCCTCAAAGAGATGGGCTGTAAGGAAATTAATTACATGGCCGATATGAAACGCCTTTCGGAGTCCACAGTTTGCTTTAATGGAACAGTTCTTACTTGGACCGGGCCTTCCCAAGTGGGATTGTTTAACGTTTGGGGAGCTGGAACTGGGCTGTATGTGCACCTTCTCATCGGTCTGAGGTCAACAATTCTCTAATGAAGATTGCAGGCGACATTCCGAAGATCAGCTCTATAACGTACAGGCGGCCACCCCCCCACGCCCGACGATTACCAACATGCAATGGATCGCCGGTACTCAATATATTTCTCCTGCTGACATGGACATTCTCAGTTCGTATACCCGTTTCCCAGTTCTCTAGGTTTCCCTGCTACGTTTGACTGAGGAGTGTTTACTGACGGCGGTGCTCCTATAGTTGGAGGCCCTGATCGCCCGCCTTCGAAAAAGATGCAAGAGCAGATGAAGCTTGAAGATCAAGAGCGCCGAAGACTTGCTAGGGAGGGACGAACCATGTCCAATCTGTCCCAGGAACAAGGCAGCCAAGAAGGATATTGGTCGTATATGCAGCGCCAGGTGCAGGAGCGCACTGAAAAGCTGAATTTTGCCGGTGACCAGATGGAACGACTGGAAGAAAACAGCAGTAATTGGGCCCGGGACGTCAACAAGTACGTTCAGAACCAGAAGAAGAAGGCTGTGCTGGGTGGTAAGTTCATGTTGATTTCTTCTTTTGACCATACCTCGCTAATCAATATAACAGTGTTAGGGTCGAAGTTTGGACTCTAAAATGCTTGTGACTGGTAGACGACTCCTTTATAAAATGCGGGGCAAATATACCATTTTGATTGTCTTAGATCGTGTCTACGCAGTATAGCTATTTACATACCCTACGTTAAGTATTGGAGTTGGTGTTAATTTCTTTTTTGTTTTCGTTGGTTGAGTTATCTCTATATTACCTACTTTCAGAGCTGTGTGCGTAAATATAGATAGTCCCTCTATTTCTAGTTCTTTAGGCCTTGCGAAATAACCAACCTTTTTTTCTGAAAATAACAAGCCAACCCTGCTTAAGACGAATCTCTCTGGCGCCGGTAACCTCTTCAATATCAACGACCATGTCATAAACATGTGTGAAG